AGAGATATATATATATATATATATATATATATATTATAGTACTATACGTTCGGCTCGTTTAATAAGGGCACTACTATGGGCATTTAGCACTTGGGAAAGGGACAGGGAGAGGGATGGGAGGCCTCCAACTACAGGAAGAGGATATTAGGCAGTTTTTGCTGCGAGAAGGTTGCCTAAAACCCTCCTCGAGGAGCATTGCGTGGTGAAAAAGCACATGTGAAAGATCACAGAGGTACTTGCCCCAAAAGTTGCACTGGCCGGGAATCAAACCACAGTCTCCCAGCAAATATATGTAAGCACGTACGTACGCACTTTTTACCGTTTTGGTCCCCAACCGAGGCGCACCTAAAGAAGTTCTCACTTCAATGATTCAAAAGATAGAGGAACCAAAAATGAAATAAAGATATAACATTTATTAGAAAAATTTGCTTCTGACTAATGATTCCAAAGTAAGTAATGTAACATGATTTAAATAAACAAGAAGGAAGATATAAAGACTTATAAATGTTGACATTGTTTCGCACAGTCACATAAAAAGCTAATAACAACCTATGAACCTCAGCATTAAAGCTGTGTCTTTTACTTATTTATACCTTAAAATTATATAATTATGTCACAAAACAGTCTTAGACAAATGCTTCATAATTTAGAACAGATAAACAAGTGCAAAGAACCCATATAGTGCAGAAAATATGTAAAAACAGAGTGACGTGTTTCGAGATGATTCATGCATCTTAGTTATTTCTCAAAACACGAGTTAAACATATGCATCCATTAAAAGCTTTTAAGGGAAAAAAACAAGAAAAAAAGGAAGTGGAAACACCTAAAGACATACATCTCTAAAACGATCACTATCAAGTTCTGCTGGATAACGACAGAAGTACTCACCTAACATCAGACAGCGAGTCAAATCAAAAAAGCTATTGGGCCAAAATTTGGACGGTTTCGCAGTTATCACAAATGAGCAGTGCAATAAATTTAATAAGAAGGAAGTGACCAAGATGCCCAGGTTTGCACTTAAGATGTTCTCCAAGAGAATAACAGTCAAAAGGTAACGATACACAGTACGGCCAAATCAAACTGAATGACGCAAGAAAAAGGCAAGAAGTGAGCCCATAAGAAAGAAAGTAACGATGGAAATACAATAAACGACTTACTACAGTATATACAAGTAAAAGAGGGTGCAAATAAGAGCACAAGAGTACACAAAAAGATTAGGGCCATACTTAATGATTTCATAGACGATTTGTAAACAAAATTTAGACTCAACGACAAGCGCTAAGATTTTAAAAGAAAGCTGAGCATCAGAATAGATGCGTAGAAATTTAATACTATAGTGGATCGACTTCCAAGTGACTTACTAAACAGTATAAGAAATCATTTGGTGATGCATAGGCAGTCATCTAAAGAGAAGACTAACTCAAAAGATAAAGATAACTTTTTGAGGAACAAAAAAGTGAAATTCAACGAGAGAAAATCTTTACAAGAACTTATTTAGAAGGATCTTAATATGTCCTTACTTAAACAACTACTACCACCACACCCTTAAAGCAACTCCAAGCCACTAACTGATAAAGTCTTACGGAGATCAAACAACAATACTGTAATGTCGATAAATTACACTTACTTAAATTTTCTTTCCCCGCTTATTCCTATAGAAGTATCCATATCGATTCAAAAGTATGTACAGCAAGGGACAAGACACATCTGAAAATAAGTCAATCACCTGTAATTGGCTCGTAGCTGGGGCACAATAACTAACTATGGTCCATGTATATGGACGCTGACCTTTGGTGACTAGAAATAAGGAACCAATAGTATTTTATCCACAAATAACTAGCAACATTTAAAAATCTAATAGATACAAAAGCTTTACTGAAAACAGCTGCAATATTATATCACTGCAACTAAGATGTAACATTCAATTCGAGAAAAACTTAGAATTGATACATATAGATTTTAATCAAACGGTATAACATTAAATGCTAGAGTAACTTGGATTCAATACGTTTGGTTAACACAGAAAACAACCCATATATGCTACACCTGTAAGTGCCGGCCATGTATTATTATATACAGACGTGTTAAGCACCGTTGATCTACCAAGGCCACTTTATTAACTTGACAGAAATTATCCTACTTTTACTGTTTGTGTTTACCGACGCACAATTTACCGAGTCACTCAATTTGATAACACTCACAATTTTACAAATAATCTGCAATAGCCTCATTTGTAAGCTTGTTAAATTTTGTTAACTTTTAATATGCAAACAGGAAAACAGGAAAATCTTTACCTTTTTCTCTTTTACTAGCTCAGATTTGCCGTGAGAAAGTCCACATACTTGCGTCCAACACAGGTGATAAAATTCATTAGTCCCCGAGCCTTGCGTACTGATTTAATTTCCACCAACTAGCAGTGAAACAAAATTTGACCAACATTCTACAAAAAATTGTAAATTATTTTTGTATCATTATAATCAGTCAAAACTACCTATAAACCTTAGTATGTTAACTCGTGACTGATGCAGTACTACCATCTTTATCATTATCTCTACTAATACAATTATTTCTATTGCTTTCATAATTTTTTTTTTTTTTACTCTTTCAAATATTATTATTATTTTGATTGTTATGATTATAACTATTATTACTATAAAAAGTATCAAAATTATAAGTTATTATAGCAATGGCCACAGTTAATGCTGTTGAGATATTAATGCTAATAAAAATATCGAAATACACCAACCATTCATTTCCCACAGCATTAATTTAAAATATCAAGCAATTTTTACTAATGACACAACCAGCTTAACTGAACGGATAAATAGTGTTAAGCATTTGTAAGAATTAACAATTTTTAATCTTCACATTAATATTAGGTCACAATGAATTTTCGTGACATTCTAATGTAAGAGAGAAAGAAAGGGCTTAAGTCAGTAAAACACTTTCCCTTCTCTTAACGCTTGTAGGAGAGCATACCGGACATGGGAAGTGTCAATTTCTGAGTGGCTAGATTAGAGCAGTTGTAGCCTAGTGGATTTTTTGCTTTTATCATTTTTCCAAGATTCTTTTCCGGCAAACTAAACTGCGTCATTTTCGAGCCAGCACATGACCGAGATCCACTACTCTTAATAAAAGGGTCCTGAGGTTAAAAAAAAGAAACTTAATAGTTACACCTCGGTAGATTGGGTAATAAGAGTCTGCCTCTACTACCTTATAGTCTACAAGCTGACGACTTAGTTTGTTTTCACCCCAAAAATGTCGACTGGGTAGCTAGAGTCTGCTCTTGCTATCATTTGGTCCTCCACCAGTGTGGTTCAAACTTCGACTTTGGACACTTCGCACTAGTTTGCCACGTGTAAGGTTACTTTTTTAAAGTAAAATATGAGTAAGTGATTTAGAACTATCACGTTTTTCAGACTTTATTTCCTTCTTCTTTTTTCGGTGTGGGTATAGCATCAAAAGTGCACACCATTGTTCATGACAGTATTGGTACATTCTACATTTCGTGGTTAAATAATCGATTATTCTTTACGTAAAATCTAGAACAATCACCTTTACTTAAAGTGGTATTAATGGCTTTGAGACCGGCCGCAAGAACTAAATCATAAATTACCCTTACTTAAACTCTAAGAAGTTTACGTCTATTCGTGACGGTAAATGTAGCTTTTAGATTAGGATTGGGACACCTATGATACGCCACTATAGGTAGTCTTAATAACCCCTAGGTACATGCTGAGTAAGTGTATCGCGATACAGCACAACAATAACTTTAAGAAATTATAACTAGATTCCCTTTAGTTAAAATCAATCGTATCCTCTTTTCAAGTTACCTACCGCATATTTCAGTTATTCTCTAGCCCTGCGTCTCACCTATAGGCCTAGTGTAGGTTTCTTGCTACGAATAGCAAGTTGTGACTTAAATAATTGATGGTACTGACGTAACAATTCGATAATAATGCTATTTATAATACTTGCACTGCAATTATTATAACAATAATAATAATAATAATAATAATAATAATAATAGTTCTCATAATCATAAAAATGACAATAATAATTATTATTATTACTACTATAATAATAGTAGTAATCAGAATACTAAAAGTAATACTAAATATAAACATTATAACCCTAAAATATCAATGTAGAACCATGCAGATTACAGGATATACATAAGTATATACGTTTTTCAGTATATGAAAAGAACTGTAAATTTTCTATATTTTTCTCTTATGAGCAAATGCGGCTCACTTCAGACCTCCACAATTTGTAGATATTAACAGATGTGAAGTATGCGAATTTCTTAAGAAAAAATATTTTTGAAATTTTGAAATTCAAGTTATAAAGAAATATATTCGCAATTTACATTTTTTTTTAATCAAGCACTTAGTTTGAATCCCTTTATCACTTTATAAATCATCACTTTGTACTTCTTACGTACCAATAAAATAAACGGTTAAAATGAATAGATAGTTGTTTCACTTACTGCTTGCAATCACAGAGAAAAAGTTATGATCGCGTTATTTGTCATAATAGTATACTGAACAGTAATCGACATATACCATTTACTCAGATTAAAAAATAAAAAAATTATTTTTTTACAATGAGACGATAATATATCCAAACAAAAACATACACACACATGTGCACCTATATAAAAAAACGGTAATTAAAAAAATAGTACATCTGCTAATTTTTTATAATCAAAGTCGGACCATTCTAAGAGCAGAGGTACCAGCTGTGAAGTTCTAAAAAAATTGTAGCCATCTTATAGAATCAGTTGCCAAAATACTTTAGTCAACCTTATATTGAAAGAACAAGCTCTATCGTCGGTGAATGTCAGCCCTACCCCTGCAAAAAGTAAAACATACACAACTGTGCGAAAACACGTTGAATAATGACGTAAAAGAAATGAAGAGCTTTTGTATTAGGGTATTGTAAGACAAGAAAAAGAAGATATCTCAGAAATACCTTCCATCCTACTTAAAAATAAAATTAATAATTTTTCAACCTCCTATTGTACCGAACTGCGTACGAATTTTTCAAAAAAAAATATACTTAGTCCCATGTAACTAAAAAAAAGAACTGCTTACAATAACTATAATAGCACTATCTTTATCTAACAAAAAAACGACACACTAAAATAGGTTTGAACCACTCAAGCAACAAGACATCTTGTACAGACCACTAAAATAATGATAAAACTGACGTTACTCTAACATATAAAAGAGAATGCTAATTATATAAGCATTTTGTAGACAGACACATCAGCTGTGGAGAAATAAGAATTTAATATTTGTCAATCACTAAAATGTATTAAAGGAGTGTAAAATTTAACTCCTTAATTCAAGAAATCATTTAACATAATAAGTAATTACTTAGATATCATTTAAACCTCAATACGTTAGGTGCAAAAATTCAGTACAGTTACGGTATGCACATTCTCTTTCTTTTTCACAACGTTTATTATCATGGTGCCGTCGAGAAGATTGGGGCCTTGATTGTACCATAGCAGTGAAATTAGATATCAGAATATTAACTAAGCTATAGCAATATTGAGTAGACAATAAATAAATATTTCTTAAAAAAAAAAAAAAAAAAAGAATAGTATAAAATCTATGTACAGTAAAGAAATTTTTCAAAAATTAAAGAAACATGTAAATATCTAAATAAATAGATAAATAAACCTTTAATACTTACTGTAAAATAAAGATAACTAATATCAAACTGCACGTTAGAAGAGAAATAACAAATAATGGTAATTTTATTTATTACCAGCATCATTTAAACAACACCTACGTATACGTAAAACCGAATATATGGTACATAAATAGAATTATAAGCAGATAACTAAGTACTGCAAAATAAACACGAAAACATCAAAGAAAAACCACTAGTCTTGTAGTTAATTGTATAACGTCCTTATATACCTTTAAGGAAAAAAGGAAGAATATGTATGACAAAAATTAGGTTATTAGAAAAGCATAAGTAAGTTTTATAACGTGCATAAAAATTAGACACTGACTACATAAAAGAATTAACACGAAACAAACAATACACTATCTAAAAGAAAGAAGATACGATCACTGTCAAGGATCACAATGCCATGGCCTTAGACGTAGTACGTACGATAGCATGATACAGTTATGCATCCTTGCACCCCTTCTTGTTTGGGCTGCAAGGGATAAAAAAACAGAAAAAATATAAGGAGAGGGAGCAGTCAGGAATAAAAAAGTGAGAGAGTCGGTTTATAGTAAGAAGATGCCAAAAAGTTACACACAATGGGTCTTTTTTCGTTTATGACATAATAAACTGCCTTATCTAAACGCTGTGTAGTTATCTCATGGAAACCTCAGAGCCATAAGATCGACGTCATGTAATCTTTCCTTTGAAAGAATAAAAGATTTACTATGTGCATATGAAGCATGAAGCACTAGATTCATGTAAAAACTGTTTACTTATTCTTTTTAAAATTCACATACATACATATACCACAATGTATGCAGATACTACTGTTTATGTAAAATATATTTGGAAGAACAATACAGTCGTCTTAAATAAACATCAAAATTCATTTGATTTTGTGTAGTAAGTAGTTCTCGATAGTAGCGGCATTTGCTATAACATTATAAAATTTCAAGGTCAAAGTTAATAATGTTGGTTGTTACGTAAGAAAAATAGTATCTTATTACGGCTGAGTGTACGTAGCGTTATTAGGATGCATAAAAAATTGTTTATTTATTTAAGTGAAAAGAGATAATTCGTAAATTTAAAGTATTGTTAAAAAATAATAAAAAAGCAATCAATGTATAAGAACCCTAAATTTCTAATATATTCATATAGATTATCCACATTTCATGTAAAGCTAACGTTTTAACCATTTTCCTTCCATGGTTTATTTACATAAGGTCAGTGCTCTTCGACGGATTTAGAAATTTAAGTTGATCAGTGATCCGTTGGAAGCTAGATGCAAGAAATAAATAAATACATACAAGGCCTTATTAAATTTTCTTACGTTGGTTTTTTAATGCGCAACGTCTTGCAGATTACATGTGTCAGTCTCTTCAGGCTTAAAAGTTAACAAATAAAAACACAATAAGCAAATTAGTAAAACTAACAAAAAAAAATTCAATAAACTTATAATATAAATTATTACCGCAGATATGCAAAAATTCGTAAGTATATTGACTTACTCGTCACTTGTCAAACTATTGCGTACCAATAAGTCACACAACAAGCCAGCGCTTACATAGGCGAAGCCATAAAGGTAGACGGTAATTAGACTTTTATAGCAAAGGAAGGTACGCTCAAGTAAAGAAAAACGAGTTTTCTTTCTATTAATGTTGTAGTTGTCTAGTTTAATATAATGCATTTCAGAAATAATTCTTTTTTTGTAATTGGTATCTTTGTCAAGAATTTTAAAGTTGTCCCAATCAAATTTATGGTTAAAATTAATGCGATGTGTGCAAACATTGAAATCAAAATTTTAGTTTTAAATGTGTTCATTAATGCAGACCTCAGCAGCTTGCGTTGTCTCACCCACATATGATGCGGGACAATTTGAACAACAAAATTCATATACTACATTTGTCGATTTAAGTTTTTCCGTTTTATCTTTTTCTAAACAGACGACGTGGTTAAGTTGATTGTTGATAAGAGGGTAAGTGTAAATATTGTAATGTCTTAACACGATTGACACTTCCTTAAAATGATTGTCTAAGTGTGGTATACCAATTTCGCAGAGAGGATTAGTTTTTATAGTCCTTTTGTTGTGATTTATGTACTTGAATTTTGTTAATCTAATCTTTATATTTTTGTTCATCAAGTTTAAGGGGTTCATAAAGATAGTGATGTTATTAATCAATGGGTAAGTGTTTTATAAAATTATTATTATTCGACCTCTTCCATCTGAATCGTGCTATCTATATTTCTTTACTTTATAGAAACGTCGCTCTTATTCTTGTAATGAAAGTATCGCTGGAGTCCAAAAGGCTTCGTTAACTAAAATTTTAAAACAGTTGAAAAAGTTATCTGTTTTGACCAGGAGTTAAACCTGGGCCTTCTTTTTGCCAGGAAGGCGCGCTTCCACTGCTTTGTTCTGGCGTGTCTTAGGTTGAACGATGATATCATAGATATCAATGTTATTAGTCCATGGTTAAGTATTATGTCAAACTATTATATATAGACCTCTTTCATCTAAATTGCGCTTTCTGTATTTTTTTATTTTATAGAAACGTTGCGCTTATTTTCAAGACTTTCAAGACTTTGCCTAAGACACGCTTAAACAGAGCAGTGGAGATGGGTGTCCACCGAGGCTTCGGTGGTGAAGTTGGTTAACGCACCTTCCCGGCAAGAAGGAGGCCCAGGTTCGACTCCTGGCCAAAGAGGTTAGCTTTTATCACTGCTTAGTAATTTTGATTGACAAATTTTTTTGCACTCTAGCGATTTCTACAATAAAAATAAGCGAGACGTTTCTACAAAGTAAAAAAATATAGATAGCGCAATTTAGATGTAAGAGGTCGATATGTAATAATTTGACACTTTTAAGGGTTATTATTTTGTGTCAACAGATTTTTTTTACTCCAGCAATATTTACAGTGTAAAAACGTGTACTAAAAAGTAAGACTGCTCTATCAACTAATTTAAAAACTTTTTTTTTTTCTGTAGCTTACTGGATGACTGAAAAAATAATTTAAGATACGTTCCGAAAAAGTTGGTTTTTCAAACCAGTCAAAATTAAACTAATTAAAATTTCTGATTATAGTCAAGTCTAGAAAGTTAACTTCATTGTTAATCTCCTTTTTGTATGTAAACTGTAGTTTAGGATGATATAAACTAAACACATTTACTATTTGGTAAATGTGGTCAACATTAATCAAAAGTAATACATCACCTTTCTAACGAAAATAGAAAGATGGATTTATATTGCAGTTAATTTTTAAAATGAAGAGATAGTCAAATTTCAGGTCATTTATTACAAGGTCAGTAAACAGAAGTGAAATGGTAGAACCCATTGGTGTGCCGAAATTTTGTTCGTAGGAATCGTTGACAAGTGTAAAAAAAGTATTGTTAAATAATTAATAGATTTAAAAAATCTAAAAACCCACTTTTTTAAATCTCCTAAAAGCAAGAAAATAGCCCCACAGGGCTAAGAGAAGGTCCACTCAAAACGTGGGTGTGTATATTATTTAAGGGATTATTAATGGGATGTATTTACATGACGTGTATAGATCGTGTATAGATCGTGTAGCTTGCAAAGATACGCCCCCACATTTTAAGCAACCCGTCTCTCCACCCTGTAAAGTTATTTTCTTATTTTTAGGACATTTAAAAACATGGATTTTGAGATTTTTGAACCTACTTATTATTTTATTATTTTTATCTTTGTTGTATGTCTGTTTACCTATAACTAGAGCGAAGACGTGCAAAAGATTTTTTTCGATTTGACTAAACTTATCAAATGAAATACATAAAAAAATTTTATTTATATAGAAATTTATTTACTCACAATCTTCCCATGGATTATATTAATAACGAAAATTGGAATTCAATCTTATTGAGCACGTAAAAACGTTCAAATCAGAAAATGGTATGGCTCACTGGTCACGTATATATATACAGTAATCCCTTAAATAATATACGCCCCCACTTTTGAGTGGCCCTTCTCTTAGCCCCGTATGAGTACCACTTACTTTTTTACAGTAAGCTATAGATGTGGCTATAAACATACATAGTTGAGTCACGTGTCATTTGTACATGCTAATTCCTGTTTTATCGGGTTTGAAGCTACCCTAAAAACTTTAGCCTCCTTACTTATCGGGAGCTGCCTTATCAGTGACTCCATACAAATTTTATCAAAATTCGTCCAGCCATTTTTATAGTTGTAAATTCCATGGTCTCGGGTTTGATGCAACCCTGCAAATTTCAGCCTGCTAGCTTATCAGAAAGTGCCTCAAAATTGAGCTGCAAGAATCCAACCGGAACGACAAACAAACAAACAAACAAACAAACAAGAAAAGTGAGTGTATAGAAACGTAGGAAAAATTTTGAGTATTGACGAATTTCGTCAACAGGAATTGGAAATTTATTTATTATGTTTAGTAAACGTCAATTAATGCTCCTGAGTACTAACTCTACAGGGATATGAGTGAACAGGGAGCTTACAACTAAAGACTTTTATTTTAAATTAGTAGAGGGTTGTATATTATTTAGTTTGTTTTTCAATTCAAAACTATTATTAATGTGAGATTTCGGAACGTTAACTCAACTCTTAGGTTCCTTGTAAGCTTTTTTTGCCAGAAAGTATGTTGGGCTATTGACTAGAGAGACGATTTGTCAGGGCACATCGATCTTGTAAATTTTTGGCAAGCCATAACATTTAGCTAAAGTTGTGTCTGTGCGTTATAAAGAGTTGGGATGGTACGTTCTTAGAAGAAAACTGTAAGAGTTCAGATTCTTTAAAATGTTAGAGGTTCTCTTTTGTATAAAATTAACTGGGTTCTTAGAAATAACCTTATAAGTGTATGTATCTGATAATAAATGATGCATTTTTGCTGCGTAGCCACTTTTTTTAAGACAAACCATAACGTTGCCTCAGCAGAGGTGAAAATCATGTCAGGATTTATATTTAAAAAACATTTTGTTGATTTTAAATTATTTATGAATTCTTGGTCCTTTCTAGAAATTGCTGGCTTATGTTTGCATACATTAAAAGAATATTAGGAAACTTTGTCATGGACCTTAGTCTTCACTCGATCGTTCGTATCGAGGTGTCAGAGACCTACTTCAAGGTTCTTAATGACACAGAAAAATTGCGTTCATGAAAGGTTAATGGTTAATTGAATGGTTAATTTAACTATGGAATGGAGCTTGGCAATAAACTTAACTGTTTTGACTTGACTGTATAAAGAAATTTAAATCATTTTAATTTTAACTGGTTAAAAATGTTTTTAAATAAGTTGGTGAAGCGATCTTACTTTCTAGTACATGTGTTCACAGTGTGAATACTGCTGGAGTAAAGAACCTTTTGGCAAAAAAAAATAACCCTTTGAACCTTATTAACAAAAATATAAAGGTTAAATTGAAAAGACACAAATATATAATATACAACAAAAGTACTATAAACAATTATCTTCTCTGCAAAATTGGTATACCAAACGTAGACAACAATTTAAAAAAAATTTCAACCATGTTAAGACCCTACAATATTCACATTCTTCCTCTTATCAACAACAAACAACACCACGTTGTCTGTTTAGGAAAAAATAAAACGAAAAAAGTTAATCCGACGAATGTAGTATATAAATTTTAGTGTTAAAATTTTCGTGCATCATATGGGGGTGAGACAAAGCGAGCTGCTGAGGTCTGGATTAATAAACACATTAAAAACTAAAATTTTGATTTTGTTGTTTGCACACATCAAATAAATTTTAACCATAAATTTGATTGGGACACCTTTAAAATCCTTGACAAAGATACTAATTACAAAAAAAGAATTATTTCTGAAATGCTTTACATTGAACTAGACAAGTATAACATCAATAGATAGGAAATGTGTTTTTCTTTACTTGAGCGTACTATTCATTACTATAAAAGTTGAAATGTCTCGATCGAGTTCCTTGCCCTTTACCGTCTACCTTTGTTGCTTCACCTATATAAGCGCTGGCTTGTTATGTCGTTAATTGTCAGTCAATAGTCACAGGTGAGTCAATATACTTATGAACTCTCGCATATCTGCGATAATAATTTACATCATAAGTTTATTGTATTTTTTTGTGTGAGCTTCACCAATTCGCTTATTGCGTTTTTAATTTTTAATTTTGTAGCTTGACAAGACTGACCCATACAAGCCACAAAACGTTGTGCATTAACGAACCAGCGTAAGAAAACTTAATCACACCTTGTATCTATTCATTTATTTTTCGCATCTTGCCCCCAACGGATCACCGATCACCTCGAATTTCATCATTCTCTCATTTAATTAGAATACGTGAACTGTCTTGAAATAATGACTTTTTATGTCATGATAAAACTGTTGTTGTTACAAGAACTCTTTTCAAAACCACTATAAAATTTCTATAATCAATAAAATTTTCGACACGAAATTAAAACAATAAGAAAATGAACTCGGTTTTATCATCAATTGTACATACATGAATAATTTATAACATATACGTTCAAGCATCAGGTAACATAAGAATTATCAATTTATGAGACTTGAAATGAATTATTTAACTTTAAAATAAAAAACTCATTAAGTAAGTGTAAAACAACTAACACAATTTGTTATTAAATCTTATTTATAACTAACGAGTCAGTTAATACCAAAATAAATATAAGTTACAACCCACACTAAAATAGAAAGAAGGGATTTATCTGTAACAGGGCTTGCTTTTAGAAAAGGGAATTGAGTACTCAGCTAGTGTGTAGAGGATTACTAGTTTGATTATCGAGGAAATCATTTTCTTTGTTTTTGGTGTATTGGATGTAGACTAGAAATCAAGATTTAAAAACTTTGTTTTTTTAGCCCATACACTTTAGTGATACGATGTAGTACAGTGTGGTTAGCAACATAAAATAGAAAATTTTTGCACAAGTTACACTTTTTCATAAGATCTTTAATCTTAAATCGTCAGTTTTAAAAATCTGAAATTTTTCTTTTGCATATGTCTCTAGTTTGTATATTTTATATAAAGATTCTTTACTTAAGCAAAAGTAGTAAGGTGTTAAAGGGCGCAGCAGAACGAGGTGAAGTTACACTGCTATACGTTATTTAGTAGTTGCCTTCCTCTGCGCTTCTTTTTGTCTCGTGGTTTTTGGTGATCTAACTAACTGTTACTTTGTTATTTTATTCATGACTATTATAAAGCATACATTACAAATATTGTTTTTTAACGGTATTTCTTATTTTTTCAATTGATCTAGTTATAAAAAAATTGATTACTTTATATCATCTTCACGTGGCTTGAGCGATATTTATTGGCTTGATCAAAACCTCTGAATATCTGAAATTATGTCGATAAAGTATGCCAAATTCATTTGCGATAGGGAAATACTGGGGTCAACGACTTAATTTTTCCGCAAGCCGCTACGGAAAATTTACCAATATAACACCTACTCTTATGGAGAGTGGTCACAAAATCGACTATATCTTCAAAAATTTTTGAATAACCTTAAAAGTTCTAAATAGTTCTTGTGTATTTTTTTGTAAAGAATCTATTAAATTCTTGAAAATATAGGGTCAACGACCTTATTTAAGAGAAAATCAGAAGAAAAGTATGAAATTTCATTCTGGCTTGCCTTGCAACATCTCCCAATTTATGAAGTTATAATTTAACTGTAGTTTTTCAAAAATTTCTTGATTTTTTACTCTGTTTTTATTCAAATACGTGTCTTTATTTAAAATTTTGTCGTCTAAAAGCGTTGATGTTTAAAGGGCCCTCATGCCACCCTACCCTTGGTACGGTGTCACCCGCCCAAGCCATCTTAATTTTTCTCAAAATATTTTTTCATGTTTTTATAATTGTCGATGGTGATTCTTTAAAGTTCACCTTTTTTGATTTGTTTCTGAATTAAAGTAAATAACAATAAGTTGATGAATTGATTTATTAAAAGTAATTTATTAAGTGGTTCCATAATAAGAGTTTCTTAATATACTTAACTTTTGTGCCAGATAAATATATAGGAGTGCCCTATAAATTTACCAGGGTAAAAAGTTTAACTATCTCTAAATCGTTTATTCTTAATACAATACAAATGTGTGACCTTGTATAAAAGAGATCTGAGGTACTTATTTTGTGTATGTGTAGCATTACGTGTGTACATCATCAAGTTTTCCGACTAACTTAAGTAATGACGATCCAAACGGGCTAAAATTTTGTTTGTAACTTTAAGTTGGATGTACAAGCTAACGGTTTACATTAGAAAAATATTATATAAAGGAAAAATTTTTACAGCATTAATTTTGTCAAGGACGGAAAGGAAGCGGAATCTTATTTTGACTTTGAGAGTCGCATGCAACTTAATTTCCTCTGAATTCTTGCATGCGCCTGCACCAGTTGCTGATAAGCTTATGTCCCATCGGCACGTAGTGGGAGGCGTGAGGTTTAAGGGTCTGACAGTCCGTTTTTTTGTTTGCACGCTCTCTTGCTTAGCATATGAAACTGGAAGCAACGTAATATCTCTCTCTTAGTGCTTGAAGTTAACCGCTTACAGGTTGTACCATCTGCAGGAGATCTTCACCACTGTCATGAAGCCCGAAGACTTAAGACATCGTCGTGGAAATGCGAAAGATTTTTCTTTACATTTCATTTTTATTTTATTTTCAGTTTTATTCAATAAATTAATCATCATCACATTACCTCCATCTTTTCATTTCCTGATTCGCACCTTTCACATTCTGATATATCTCATTAGTTACACCTCATGATCGTGCTGGGCCTCTGCATCTCTCATTCTCATTTTTTTATTACGTCGCTTATTCATCGATCTCCTCATCATTCTCGCCCCCATCTTAACCTTTTACCTCTCACTCGTGCTACTTTTTCTTTTTCTATTGAACCCAACTCTACTCGATATCACCCTTATCACAATCCTTCTTCGCTTATTTTTTTCACCCCCCTACACGTCTACGCCTGTCTAATCTGCACAGTGGTCGATGAATATCTCTTTCTCCCTTTCGCTTATCCTCACGTTAATTTTAATTTTATTTACCTCACATCCACGATCATCTTATCATCCATATGTCACTCATTTCACAAACTCTTGTTATCATCCACCTAACATCTCTATCCATATATCGACCATCATCTTCATTTTAGATTCTCTTCACCTATCCTCATTCAACCACATCACTACATATAATACCCATCTCACATCTATTACATCCTATGTAGGGCATATCGTCGTCTCGCTATTATCACATCTTATCCCATCTTCTTCATCCCGTTCCTCTCTTCAGAATCAGGGTCCCCAACCGAACACAACTTACAACAATCATCATCGTTAAGCTACCGCAAGTGGTGGTCAATCTCGTCTTCTGGGTGTCACCCCGCTCTAACCCTCCTTGCACTGACTTGTGTGATCAGATGGGGCCCACCAGTTCCCAAGGAAGATATTCTTCCTTGTCGTTCTCTCCTTGATGACACACAAACTGTGAGTCGTCTAATGACACAACTAATGCTTACGAAAGTCCTGTTTATCTACCTCAATATTTTTTTGGCTATGTCTGTCAATCTTACTCACGTTAATTAGTTATAATGAGTCCAGGTTCTTATGCCACCGGCTCTCTCCCACTAGTTTGCTGTTATTACTTGTAATAACCCTCTTTTCCAGTTTTTGCTTAGTCCAGACCTTTTACAATCATTAGACTTATTATTATCATTTATTGCATTTATCTATCTACTGCGTCTATTAGTTTCAATTTTTGTCAAATTATNTGTATCATATATTTCTTACAAGGATAAACAATAGTTGGGGAACTAGTTATAATTCATCCGTATGTTTCCGTATAATTGTACCCTTAGGGGTTTATTATAAAAGCAATTAAAATTATAAGAACGCACTTCTTTCTTTACCCAAACGTAATCTCCTGGTTTATTTACAATCATTAGACTTATTATTATCATTTATTGCATTTATCTATCTACTGCGTCTATTAGTTTCAATTTTTGTCAAATTATAATAAATATTATTTAATTTTGCCTTCGGTTTGAGACCGAAGATTATGGACTACAGTCTCACGATCATTCACAGGCTGTGGGACAGCAGATAGTCTAACTATTCGTTCGTTTGTATATTGGGGAAAGGAAATAAAAAAAAGAGTGTTAGGCTTTCTAAAATATAAATTTCCACATACCTATGCTTCCTTTTCATTCTATTTCATATGATTTTCCAGTGCTGCTTATTTTGATATTATTAATTTTATTGAATAACAACTGAAAATATACTCTGCACAATCTGGTATGCTTCTTCTTTTTTTGTTAATTAAGTTTCACAATACATTACAACAATAACAATGAATTTATAAGGCAATACAACTATGAACTTACCGAGCAATTATAACAAGTTAGATTAAAATATTGATCCAATAGTAAGGAACCACACTCAAAGAGCAGTGAAAAGGTACTAACTAAAACACCACGGAAAGAAATGTACCTTGCACAAAGTCTTAGTTAAACTTCTTTGCCTTACTTTCTCTGGAGCTGGAACTTGCTGACTTTATGTGTTTAGGCTTTATGGCTCAATTCGGTTGTCACTTGACACTTTTGAGAGCCACAAAGTATGCAGTTATTATATAAAATAGAATAAGGATAGAAAATTTATTTATTTACGCAAGTTGTCACCTAACAGCCTCCCCTTCTTATGACCCTCACCGTCCTTGGTGAAGTATTTATATATTAAAATAATCTGATTTAAAGTAAGAAGTGGACCATGGTAAACTGAATACCTAAATGNTTTTTTTTTTTTTTTTATTTCCCCCGACCCACCCTCTCTGTGCACATGTTAATGTTTCCATCCCGTTGTGTCAACACAGGGAGGTAAGATCCCGGTGCGGTGGACGGCGCCGGAGGCGATAGCTTTCCGCAAGTTCACGAGCGCCTCGGACGTCTGGAGCATGGGCATCGTCTGTTGGGAGGTGATGTCGTACGGCGAGCGGCCGTACTGGAACTGGTCGAACCAGGATGTGATAAAGTCGATAGAAAAGGGCTACAGGCTGCCGGCGCCCATGGATTGTCCCGAGGCGATTTATCAGCTGATGCTCGACTGCTGGCAGAAGGAGCGTACCCATCGGCCGACCTTTGCCAATCTCACACAGACCCTCGACAAGCTCATCAGGAGTCCGGACACTCTCAGGAAAATCGCCCAGAACAGGTACATTAGGCCACCCTGGCTTTCACTCATCTCCACTTGATTATCTTATCACTACTACTACCATCATCATCATCATTATCATCATTATTATTACAATTATTATATTGTTTCGTGATCATCATTACTATTATCGTCGTATATTATTTCAAGTCTCGTCAGAAATTATGTCACGTATATCAAAAGGCTTTCATTGTCGTGTAATATTACGAAAGTGCTACTACGTATCTTTTATCGTGGTGAACATGTTGTGTAAATTATGCCTCGAGTATTCTCAATGATGTACGATTTTCAATTTTTCGTGAAATTTAAAATAAACATTCAATCGACGCGGCTGTACTTGAACTAATTTTTCCCACTTGCATCATTGAGGAAACTCGCTGCGTTAGCATTAAGAATGATGTCGGTGTAAGCAAAAGTCGCATAAATACCTACATTTAATCGAACGATTTAACGTTCAAATCACTATTGGGATTGATTGGTTAAGAAAACAACAACATACGACGGATAAACCAAAAAAAAAAAAAAAAAAGAGTAGGTCGATCTCCCCATGGTATAATCCTTGTGAGGACGACTTGACCGCCAATCCCGATAGACTCATTGCAAAACATACACATGTATACAAGGACGCACATTGCAATTTGCATCATGCGCATTAAATCGTTCGACCATTATCATTTCAAGTGAATCACGCCGCATGCCACGAGAGTCCATAAATTAATTTCTCTCGAAAGCTACATAAACTTTCGAACAGAATGTTGTTGTCGACGAAAATCAAGCCTTTACGCTATCTGTGTTGTGTATTTTTATTTATTTTTTTTTTTAACAACACATCGTAATACACTGAAACGGTCATCCATTTAACTGTTATACAGAATTCTTACAGTTACAAAAATGTGTGCAATTTGGAAGGATAATAGGATTTATTATAACTAATTATGGATCGTGTTTTTTCCTTTCTCCTTCGTCCTTGGTTTTTTTGTTGTTAATTACCAATCTATTAAGGGAATCCAAATCCTCCAATAGCCAGTCTCATGGCAAAGCTTGAAATGCTTATCGTATTTGACTAGATTGATATCTTTCTGGCACGATGGACAAGTTTTGTTCAACTTCATTTGAATTTTGCACAAAGAACTTTGCACTTCAAAATTGCTTTTATATATTAAATTTTCACACGGACAATGCGTAACTTTTTTTGCGGTTTTTTTTACAGTCTGTAAGAATATCTCGCCCCACACATTTCAAGTCCTTCTTAGGCTTGTTTTGTTGATTCTTTGTTACAGTATGTAGTGGAGAGCTTAGGTACAAGTGTATTACATCATCGCGCACGATATCTAATGGATGGCAGTTCAAATGGCTAAGGGGGCCAAAAGTCATTAGCAACTGGGTATACTTATCTGGTTTTATATCAGCCAGCTCCTTAGATACGACTCTCCGACGTAGTGGGTCATGATCTTTAGGAGAATTATTTTCACTTGTTATGTTTTTTGTCTCCACCATTTGAATGCTCACACTTTTTGCCTACTGAGTTATACAATATATTACTATTTGGTGCATGTCTTCCACCCATTGAGCTTATCCATTTGTTACATAAATGGAGATAACATTTTTTCGTGTTTGTCTTTTGGGTCAAAAAATAAATATCCTCTATTGAATAATTGTGTTAAAAAAAATCGATAATATAGTTTGTTCCAAAAGGTTTTTTAATAAAAATGCTTATTTAAAACCCAGTCCGATTTACTCATACAAATCGTATTATTAGACCAGGTTCTTTTTCATTATCTTTTGCAGGGGTTTCCACTTATATGGATAGTTTTTTATTATTTTTCAGCACTTGGACGTTTTGTGTTGGTAAAAAAAAATGTTTTGCTCGACAAATAGTGAATCTCATCTCAAAAGGAGAAAGAGTCCAGATTTTCCTTTTTTATTTAGTATTTTATCAGTTCTTTCAGTAAACAAATAACCATTATATTTTGCGGTTAAAGTTTAGTGTGTATAACTATGTGTATTCGGAAGTGCGTCCATTTCCTCGATGTTTCCTCTATTTTCTAATTGTTCAATAACTTTATGTGAAGGTTGGTTTACGTTGACTTTAGCCTTTATCGATAATTCATAGTCAGGGTTTATCTTGCAGCCTGGAAAGAAAATATTATTGAATTACTATGGACTTGTGAGTCTATTTTTAACTTTTGGGGTGTATGGCATGGAAGTATCAAACTCTGTGTCCTTATTATAGGTCTAGTTTGAGATAAAAGAGTCCCTTAGCAATGCTTCCAATAATTCCACAAGGTGTCAGTTTTTTTGTTCGTATGCTGGGTAGTGAAATAATGTTTTCTCCCACATCGGTTCCCACACTATTTATTATATTAAATAGTATTGCTTTGAGGTTTGTTAATCGCATTATTTTTAAGTTCAAGAGATCCATTTTTTTATAGTGAGTGCAATTAGGATAATGAAACTGTACAATACAATATCGAAAACTTTCATTTAATCCTTGAGTAGGTGTTTGTTCCAATATAAATTTACTAACATGCATCCATATTATAACCTTTTAATCAGCTGTCTTATTTTTTGTTGTACTAATTCGTTCAAAGTTTACTGCAGGGTTTGTTTCAAGTGATTCTCTGCTATAGTTGCTATGATTTGCATAGTTTAATTTTGTGCAACCCTCAAGCACTATTGTCATTAAAATGGCCAATACAATCCGCATTGTTGTGTATCTTTCTCTTTCTGGAAGACATGTATCATATATTTCTTACAAGGATAAACAATAGTTGGGGAACTAGTTATAATTCATCCGTATGTTTCCGTATAATTGTACCCTTAGGGGTTTATTATAAAAGCAATTAAAATTATAAGAACGCACTTCTTTCTTTACCCAAACGTAATCTCCTGGTTTACAATTAGGAAGATTAAATTTTTCAACATATCTTGTTTTTGCTTGTATTTTCATCTTTATTTGTTGATTTTCCACCGTAATTTGCATTAGTGAAGTCGCCTTATAAGATCTTGTAAGCACAACGAATAAGTTTGTTACTTTTCATCGTTAGTTATCTTTAAAGAAAACCTTGCCACTCTCCTAAATACTAGTTTATAGGGGGTTAAATTTGTTGCTGCATGTACACTCATGCTATACGTGGAAGCTGCAAATTTTGCTTGATTGTTCCAGTCATTATAAGTTTCAGAGTAAATTCTTGTAGAGTCATTCATTTTCAATCTTTTGATATGTTTTGATCTGACATTTATTAATATACTCAGTTAAGATGTAGACAATGTCTGTAGTTGTGGAAAAGTTTTCGTTCAAGTCCTTTGAGCAATCACACTATGATCTAACTTTGGTCGTTCCTTATTTGTTATTGAACCGAAGGGTTGTTGAGGGCCCTTGGCTAATTAGGATACATTTGATTCTAATTTGGTCATGCTTTCAGGTTTCGTTACTTCTACTGTCTTCATCAAGGTTATTGGCAATGCTTCAGGTTTGATCGTTGTTAAATTGAATATTCTTACTATTCCTCTTTTTTGATTTTGTAATTCTGTGTTCTTTTTTTCCTCTATTTTTTTTTTTTGACCCATTATTATAACTCTTAGTAATGGTAACCCATTGTTGATATTGTTTTCCGCATGAAGAAATGGTCCTGCTGGGTTTCTAGATAGTGCATCACCATTGGTATTAAATTTTTCCGGCTTGTTTCTATAAGTGTTTTTAAATTCGGTGAATTTCAACATCCAGCGCATAAGCAACTGACTTGCATCTTTTTTTGTATGCATCTTATTCAATGGCTCATGATCGGCTACAAGAACTAATTTATTCCCTAACAAATAAGAATGAAAATGATGCATTGAATGTAATGCAGCTAAGCATTCCTTTTCAGTCGTAGAATAATTAACTTCGGCTTTATTTAGAGTTCTTGAAAGATAGGTGACAGGATGGTCAAACTCATCTTTTTATTAACTTAATACCACATTAATAACGTAGTCAGATGCATTTGTCGTTAACTTAAATGATTTACTAACGTCCGAAAATTTTAAAATAGGCTTTTGACATACATGGTCTTTTAGTATTTCAAAACTCTTTCCTTGCACTTCTGTCCATTTAAAATTATCTTCCTTTTTTAATAAATCTGGTAATGGCTTAGCTATTGTCCAAGAATTCCTAATGAAGCGTCTTTAGTATCCTGCTAGTCTAAAAAATTGTCTAATGTTTTCCACAGTTTTTAGTTGGGGAAACTTTCTAACGGCCTGTATTTTCTTACTATATGCCCAAGAAGTATTACTACTTTTCGCAAACTTTTAACTTTGTGTAGTTAAAGTAACATATTCGCTGATCTTAACCAGTTGAAAAGTAACCTAACTTTGTCGTTGGAACGTGGCAGATGCATTTTTCAAGCCTTTCAGCATCTGTCTGTATTGGTAATGTACATGGGGTGTCGTAAATGCTGTTTTGTACTTATCATGTTCAGCCATAGGAATTTGTTGAAATCCACTTGCTACATCAAAAAGTAAAAAATGTACGGATCCTTCCAACTGGTCCATAATATCAGCGATATTGAGCAAAGAATATGCATCACCAATGATCTTTTGATTGAGTTCTCAGAAATCAATCACTAACCTCCATCTTGAGTTTCCATGACTATCAGATTTCTTAGAAACGATTCAGAGAGGTAAGTCATATGGTGATAATGAGGGCTCAACTATTCTATCATTAAGTTTTTTGCTACGTGTTCTTCTGAAATTTTCTTCTGTACTGGTGTGACAATATTGCTTAGTGTTAATAGAGATGTTGTTTTTTATCGGGATTTCATATGTATTAAAATTTGTACAGGGTAAAGGGTCTTCCGGCAACAAAAAGATTTTTGGAAATTCGGGAATCAATTGATAAAGTCGGTCTCATTTAAGGGACCAGTACACACAAGTCCTTTTACATCTCTTATTACATCTTGTGTATTTTTGATAACGGGTCTCTTGATTTTGCTACTAGTATAGGGGTCAAATTCAGGTGCAATATAGTTGAAGGGTAGAATAAATCTGGGATCTATTTTAATCGTAATTTAATCTTCATTAGTATTCATCGCCATCATATTACATTGACTGCTCTCATTTTTACTATTTTTTCTCCTTAATATACGTCATCACGAAGTACGTTGACTCTTGGTAAGTATCCGTCAGTGAAATCAGTATTAATGAAATTAATTTTCACTACTTGACGTGTTTGAGTCTTAAGGGTCTATTAAGTTGGTTTATTGTTATATTTTTGTTCCTCATTAGGGCAAGGTTGTTTTTCACTAAGAGTATTTTTACTACGTTAGATGGCATGTGGTTAGAGTGTATCTTGGTAGTTTTATTTGTTACTTTCACTGTACATCCCACTTTCGTTAGTTTTATTATTAGTGAGCTTCATGAAACTGTCTCTTTTTTTTTTGATAAAACTCATTTGTCAACTTCATCTCGAAAATGAAAATCAGCTTCTATGTCTCCAAATTTTTCGTATTGAGGTATATTTGACCTTTCATGTGGGCTACAATGTATTTGTCATTTATTTCAAGCTGGTCAATTTTATCTCTAAGACTCTGTCTCGTTGTTAGTATTAAGGGTGGTAGCTAAAATTTGACTTTTCCACTTGTTTCTTGAGTTTTATTGCTTTTTATTCTTTTTCATTTCTTTTCAATCGCTCTGTTTCTTCAAGAGTTTCTGAAAAAGGAATGGGGTTCACAACGTCGTCATCTCATACTATAGCATTATGATAATACAATAATGTGGCTCATAGTTCTTTACAAAAGTTTTGACCCAATAAACTGCCATCTTTGATCGGAAAATCGTTGGGGATCACATGAAAATTTTAAGGATTTCCTTAAACAGTAAAATACGTTGTTCTTTTGGTTAAAACTAGGTAGGTGTAATTCCGATAAGACAAATAATATCACTAGTCTATACATGTAAATATGGGTGCAACTGATCTAATTTGATCAGGTTTGTGACGGCACCAATATCGAGCATGAGTGTGATTAAGCGATTTTTCCGTTCTTGAATTGACAATCTTATGCTTGTAGGCTCATCGTCTACGTCAAGTCCCTGGTACGTACCGATGTGGACGGTTTTGATTATGTTGCTATGTTTATTACTTGCGCTGAAACATTTAGTGTAGACGTTAAATTTTGTCTTTGGGGGCTCACCTCCAAACGACGATTGTGGTAAGCCACCTAATAGTTTAAATGATGTGGCAAACGGTCATATTCTGGTTGGTACTGATTCTGAAAGTTCTCATTCTGATAATTACGATTGAAACTTTGTTGGTTATAATTATTATAACTGTTATTTTGGGGATATACAGTATAATTTTAACCTCTGCCTTTATATCCTTGATTATTTCTAGGGTTAAAATTAACGTTTTTTTAAGTGTATCGTTTGGATCTTCGTTAGTCTAAAAGTATTCTGATGATAATTAGAGTTTTTCGACAGATTTAAAAACTTTCGATCTCTCCCTTGATTTTGATTGTCAACCTGTTGTTCATTAACTTGTGCTATTTAATGTTATGAGAATAACTGATCAGGATACCTATTCTGCTAATGATATAAGTTATTTAAATAATTTCTAATATCAGTACGAGGTAGTCCTTGGTATCGTGTATCCGGGATTGTACATGCTCTTATTCGGCTCTGCAATCTGAACGCATAATCGGAAGCATCGACTAAAGAAGCAGGTTCTCTCACATCTACGTGCTGGCTCATCATAGGTGCTAGTTCTCTAAAGAACATGTCCTATGCCATATCTTTTATAGGAGTCATCATATGGACGTTGTATGTATTGCCTTCATTTTTTATCAAGGCCTTTTTAGCACCACATAGTAGTAGGCTTACTTAATCATAATATTCACCAACCAATGGACCTTGTCGTCGGCGCACTTTCTGCAGCAAAGTTTGATAATAAGCAACGGTTTTTCCTGTGACATATCTTTTTTTTAAATGGGTTATAAATGCTTCGAGATTTTTGAGATCTTGGCCACTTACGCTTATGCGTACAAATCCTCGTAGATTCTGCAATACTGCTCTTTCATATCAATCTTTTTGATCATCTTTAAACCAGCTTTCTGTGTTTCTAACATCTTCTTTATAATTTTTTAGTGGAATATTTTTCCCATCGATTATAGGGATAGATTTAATTGCATGCTGAAATGAGAAGTATACATTAAGAGACTTCATCAGCGCTTTGGCTACTGTCATATCGGCATCGTCATTTTTATTGACCATTTTCTTAGTTGTATAATTTGCTTTACGTGCGTTTTTTCTTTTTCTTTTCATTTATTTTTATTCTATATTCTATAAGTGTGTGTAATCAAAAAATTATACTTTTATTGTTTTGTTTATTTGTTTGAAAAACTTTTCTATTAAATCCTTGATATTTATCGAAGAAGACATAAGTGATAAGGGAGTAATTGAATTTATACGTGTGTATGTGTGTGTATTTATATGTCTTTTATATAAGCGTTTGTTGGCCCATGCATGTGCAATGAGTTTGCTTAAATTCTTATAGGTATACGTCTGCAAACGGAAAAATAGGTAACTAAAGTTACAGAGTGTAATCAAGCGCGCTTATACGATATCATTTGCTTTAAGCAAGGAAGTATATACGGCACAGGAATTTTTCATGTGGCCTGTGCAGCTATGTATCCTTATTGCTATGCCACCATAATGTTGGGTATGATTTAAAACTCTCTCTCTCTCTGCATTGAATGAACGTATTCGCCTTTAAGTGTGCTAAAATATGCTATCACTGTATTTACTCTTGGCCACTGACTAGCATACGTATTGTTGATAGTGTATGTATCGGTGTTTGTATTTCTAAGTTGGAAAAGAGCTCTACAACGAGCTTTAAGGCTTTGAACGTTGTAGTTTTTCTCCCGATCAGTGTCATGCTACAATAACAGGCCAAAAAAGATCACCCTGAGGTATAGAGGCACCTGCGGCTGCTGGAAGCTTCAGTCAAAAAAGAATTTCCTTCAAAAGCTCACCAGTCTTTTTTAAGGTCATCGGACGTTGAACTACGTTGCCAACAAATATATAACAACCTATTAAAAAAAAAAAGCCTTAAGGGCTCACAAAAGTCTTAACTATGCCGAAAGTCACAAGAAGTCGAATTAGAAGGAAAACTCTAAATGCATCTAATGAATACAATTCTAGGTATCAAAAAATCAACGCTAAACATTTATCGAGTTTGAAGCAGCATTAAAACCGATAAACAAAGAACTTTTTCAAAGAAAGATCAGCTATTTACTATAACACTTATAGTAATCTCTTGAATCTTCAAGATTTTTAAATAGGTTTAATGTGTATTTGTATTTTTGTGTCGATAGAAAATGTAGAGATTAAGCTCTAGGAGCTAGCTGCTGTGGTAATAAAGTTATGAAGTAAGAGAGAAAAAAATTTTTTTCATCATACATTTTTTGTGAGGTTTAAATCTTCACAGCTTAAAAAAATAGCCCTGTTTATAGAATATACGAGAGCAACTGCAAATCAACGGTCTTTGACGGCCAACGATTATTTTATGGCATAAGGAGTGCACAGTACTCTTCAACATAATTTTGTTTTTTTTACCTTTTACAGCTTTTTACTTGATTAAATAAAATGTACGGATTCCGACCAAAAACGTTTTTCAATAAAAAGATTCTTGTTCTGTGAAGTCTCAGAAATAAATGTAAGATTTTTAACTAAAATTATTTCATACTACAAATTCACACACTATGGTATTCCATTAAGTGAGTTTTAAGCAAAGCCAAGACGAGGGGGGTGCTCGTTAATACTATTAAGGTTGTTCCTTCCATGCAAGACATAGTGCTTTGCATGAATTTATGAATTTAGCCACTTGTCAATGTAAATCAACTTCATGTCTTTCTATTGTGTTATTTGGCAAAAATTTACTTCTACAATCTGACCATGCTTGTCAGTTTTCAGGATAAATCACTATAATCATACAATATTTATTATTTTTACTCCACCTATGAGCTAGACCAATCATCTTTCTAGTTTCAAACATTAGTAAAAATTTTTATTAACTATATACGGGTGACTCTGCCATAACTCAGATAGATTTAAAAAAGTTTTGAAAAAGAAGTTTGTTAAAAAAAATTTTTTCATGGTATTTTTACTGTACACAATATCAGTAACAAATATATAAAGCAATGCAACTATAAAATTTGCTGGTCAAAAGTTCTACGAAATATTATAAAAGTCAGTTTTCATCGATTGTCGAAAAATTGTATCACATTCTAGCATGTGTCACGAAGCTCCTAAAATACTTTTAATGTTCTTACTGGGCTAAAATTAAGGCTGGGATCAAGATATATTGATTAAAAAAATTTTTTGTTCGATTTTGTTCCTCCATTTAAAAGTTACAGCTGTTTAAATTAGAGCGTAAATATCGCTAATAATGTTATTTTGGCCAAAATTCAGTATTTTTCATAAAATCACTACAATTTCTCATTTGGTACATAAAATTCAAAGATTTTTATTTTAATTTGTAGGACTATGTTTTTGCTTTTATTTAAACCCAGATAAAGCCACCTAATGGAGTGCACAACTTGGCTACCAACGTTGGAAGCAGCACCACCGTTTTTGCATTTATGTAGCGAAAAAGGGCCGAATGGACAAAATCTCAAGACATGTGTCTCGTCTTTTGGCTCAACAGTGATGGAAAAAAAAGTTTGGCTGGGATTGATTGCTCTAAAACGAACAAAAACAGCACTTTGAGGGGAGGTGGGATTGTAATGGGAAAGTTCGGAATGAGATTTTCAAAGTTTGTAGTGCTCGTGCGACTCATAGACGTATAACAATGACTTGTCCACTTATAATTTATTTACTAGACTCAAATAAAATAAGAAGCTGTAGTTTGCGTACCTGCACACGGACACCAAGTGGTTATTCCATGGGGGTCGAAACAAAATGAAATGTTTGTACGCGCGAAATATGCAGAAAGAAGAGCTGGGCTATTCGAGAGAAAACAACTTCAGGTACTTGTTAAAAGTGGCCGTTGGGGTTGGACGACTTTGAGTTGGGAAGTGCAGTTGGAAGAGATCAGAGTCCATTTCGAGTGACTCGAGCCGTCCTTTTAAGTCGAACAAAGATGGTGGCACTGCTTCCAAAGTTGTTGGCGTTGTGGCTTTGTTTTATTCCTCGAAATCCAGCTCTTCGGAGAGGTGCGGCAATTAAGCGGTAATTCGTAGAGACCTCGACGGGTTGGTCGCCAGGTTGACCAGTGGGTGTTTGTTATTTTTTTTTTTTTTTTTTTTTTTCACTTCATTTATTATATTCCAAATTAACAATATTACAAGACACCATCTCTCCTACCCTCGCCGGGATCTCTTGGTCTCGCTTCGGTGATCTTCTCTAGATCGAGAGGTCTCAGGGTCTTGGAGTGGGGGTAATACTTGGACTACACTCCGGATGAGTGGTTTGGGAGCCTCAACCACCTCTGGGCTCGTAGCAGGAGAGGGTGTACTGGGTGGAGGTGGTCGTCGGGGAACAAAGGTGCTTGGCTTCAACGGGGTGGTCCGTACCCTCTGAGTGGGATCACTTCTAGGGAGACCCGTGAAAGGTAGGGTCATACTTTCGAAAAAATCTTCAGGGAATTAGATAGCCACGTCCCGAGTAGCCTTCTTTGGATGGCATTCTATGGAGGTGACAACTGCATATCCCTGGGTGATACAATCGTCTATCTGTTGGCCCGGGGTCAACTGTCTCTACTCCTGAGTTACAGGGGGGGCAGGTCATGAGCACCCAGAACCAAAGATAGGACTTAGGAAGAGGCTTGAGGGAAAAGAAGGTATAGACAAGTGTCTTGTACTGGTACAGTGATATTTATTGAATATGTACTTTAATTGAGTGGCTTAGGAGGTATACATTACACGTATTTGCATATCTCGGATCGATATCAATCAGTCGTCACACAGTCCGTCTTATATACTTTACATCGCTTTCTTACTTGCGATTTTCGCTAAAAACTAGTGGTTGCCACCTGGTGAGCGATAGGAGGTACTATCAAGCACTAAGTTGGAAGTCAGAGCTACGCGCGATATTTTAAAATTCAAATTTATGTAGAAACGATATAATTTAAGAAAAATGATTATTTAAAAATACAATAATTAATAAAATAATATCCCAGACGGTAACATACTACTGTCGTCAAGATTTGCTTATTCTAATTCTACACTTTGAAAAGTGACCATTGGTTAGCATTTTAATCCAAAAAGTTACTGGTTTAAATTAATTTTCGTTAAAACTGCGATTATG